TTATTATTATTATTATTATTATTATTATTATTATTATTATTATTATTATTTTGAGACAGTTTCAAATGTAGCCTGTCTGTGTAGCCATCCTGTCCTATAACTCATTATGTATAAAGAATACTAGCCTTGAACCAGTGGTCAACCTCCTTCCGGGATTAGAGATACATGCCATTACAGACTAGCTGAAAATTGTGCTTAAAAAGCACTAGGTACTTGTACATTTTTGTTTCTAATGCAAGATTAAATTATATTAATACTCAGTATTAAAAGGCTTTCCTTGAAAGCAAAAATTGTACTTTTTAATATGAAAATTTTGTTTCCTCTGAACTTTACTCATTTGCTTCATGAATAGTAATACTAATACTTAAAATACATAATAGTGCTTAAATTAATTTCTTAAGTTAGTATATAAAGTAATGGATCTCACATTACCATTTTTATATACATGTAGTTCTACTGTTAATAACAGTTAAAAATTTTTATAGTCTCTTTTTTTAATTTACTTTTTATTAGTTACAGTTTATTCACTTTGTGTCCCAGCTGTAGCCCCCTCCCTCATCCCCTCCCAATCCTACCCTCCTTCCCTCTTCTTCTCTTATGCTCCTCCCCCAGTCCACTGATAGGGAGGGTCCTCCTCCCCTTCCATCTGACCCGTCTATCAGGTCTCATCAGGACTGGCACAGTTGTCTTCCTCTGTGGCCTGGTAAGGCTGCTCCGCCCTCATGGGATGGTGATCAAAGAGCCAGCCACTGAGTTCATGTCAGAGATAGTCCCTGTTCCCATTACTAGGGAACCCTCTTGGACACTGAACTGCAATGTGCTACATCTATGCAGGGGAACTAGGTTATCTTGATGCATGGTCCTTGTTTGGAGTATCAGTCTCAGAAAAGACCCCTTTGCCCAGATCTTTTGATTCTGTTGTTCTCCTTGAAGAGCTCCTGTCCCCTCCAGGTCTTACTCTCTCCCCCTTCTTTCATAAGATTCCCTGCACTCTGCCTCAGCATCTGCGTTGATACCCTGCTGGGTAGAGTCTTTCAGAGGCCCTCTGTGGTAGGCTCCTGTCCTGTTCCCTGTTTTTCCCTCTTCTGATGTCTCTCCCATTTACCTTTCTGAATGAGGATTGAGCATCTTATCCAGGGTCCTCCTTCCTGATTAGCTCCTTTATAGTGTCTTTCATTGCTTAGCATATATTCCATTTTAAATGTACAACCAAATCACTATGCTTTAAAATGACTTGAAATTTTTGTGTCTTGAATTTTGCTTTAACATTCTTAGGTTTTTAAGATTTATTTATTTATTTATTAAGGTTTATTTAATTTTGTTTAATTATAATAAACATATGCAACTCTGCCATTCTTCATAAAGTCTGCTGAGTAAGCTGAGAGTGGAAGAAGGACGTAGATGTTGCACGCCTATGGTTATGTACCCTAGGATGATTATAGTAGTACAAGCTTTCTTTTTCATGTCAAGCATGAAGGCAAGAACTGTACTTTTGTTGTTTTTGCTCATTTGTGCCACATTGTACTTAACAGTCAACAAATGATTGTTAAAGAGTAAAAAAAATAAATGGACATAACTGCATTCATAGTAGGAGTTTTTTCAGGTGAGAGGTAGGCAGACTGCTAGAGTACTTTAAAAGTGGAAAAAGAGATGGCCAAGTTTATGGTGACAGGAAAGTATGAGATGATAGCTTCAACCATTATTTTCCATATCACATAATACTAAAAAGGCACACAAACTATCTATGACTTAATTATAAGAACCTGTAATCTGTATAATTTAAAAGAGATTATAAACAAATTCAGGTAAGGGAATGTTGAAGTGGCATACAAATAATAGAAGCCTTACTGATGGGAAAGGAGCAGTCAGATATCTTCTAGATGGAGTGTATAGTAACAGTGATCATGAAAGGCTAGAATCACATAATTTGGGAGATTGTTCCCTAGCTTTTCGGTGATGTACAGGTTTTTTTTTTTTGCCTTTTACCCGCTATTCTCACTGATTAAAAACAATCCCCAAGAAAATGTATTAAACTTCAAAAATTAAAGCTGGTCTCTTTAGGCTTGGCTTTAGAAGTTGTGTAGTCACAGTAGAAGGGTTGTTTATCTCATAGACCTTAAGTTTGTGCTACAGTAGCAGGAGTGTTCATTTATCTTGCAGACCTTCTTCAGTTTTTTTCACAGCTTGTGTTTTTATGAATGTTTTTGGAATACGCTCCTTCTGTATTTTTTCCCCCTTCAGAAGCAGATTGTCTAGAATGGACTTTTAAAAACCTGTTTGCTAAGGTGAGAGAAAAAAGCTATACGTAGGAAATGCTTGCTACATGTTTTGTTGTATAGTCTTTATTATCAGAAGTGGTAATAAAATCTCATTTCTATACTGTTTAAGAGAATGGAGGGTTTTAAGTTGGATGCCTGAGGATAATTCAATAAGAAAATCTATTTTATTTTCAGATTGAAAACATCAGAAGGAAGCATAACTACCTGCCTTTCATTATGGAACTGTTAAAGACCTTAGCAGAACACCAGCAGTTAATTCCACTTGTAGAGAAGGTAAGTATGTCATTGATGACTACTCAGACTTAGATTAGCTTTTCCCCCAGTATATTGTCTTAGGCATGAATGGAGATAAAGTTTCTTGAAGCTTGTGTAGGTTTATTGCTTTGCCTAGTGTTTTGCATTTTGTAATTTTATTCTTTTGCCTAGTGCCTTTTGCATTCTAAAAGTAGCATAGCCTAATACTTTAAAACAAAAGCAAAGTATTGCCCCACTACGTTAGCATTCCAAAATTCTTGATGTCTAGAACTCAGGTTATTTTGTATTAAAACACTGTTCCTTTCTTTGAACAAAATCAAATTTTCAGTGTTAATACCTGAAATGATAGATTTTTTTTTCTTAACTAATTTTGTAAAATTTTGCATTGATACCATAGAATTTAGATTTGGACTTTGGACATTGATGGGGCATAAAAGAATAGTTTGGCTAGCAAATAGGTTTCTTTTTTTTTAATTCCTAATCTAGAATCCTTCCCATTGAGGGATAACTAACATACATAGGTGGAAAATTCTGATTTCTAAGATTTATTCTTCAGCGTTAGACATTTAATAAAATATTTGTGGAATAAATGAATTAAATTGTTTGTAAGTTTATATTGTAAATCAACATTTCTGAAAATGACCATCTCTGGATGCTCTTTAAATTACGTGTTACCTGGCCCCTCCCCAGATATTCTCATGTAGGGGAAGGAATCTTTAATAAGTTCCCCAAGTGATTCTAATGCAACTGATCTGTGTACCACATTTTCGAAACACTTTGAGAAGACACTACTAGGCAAATAAAAATTTGGACCATTAATTTAAAGACAAGAATACATGGTAGGTATATTTTTCTTATTGATTTTAAAGTGTACAAAGCAAAGATACATTTTGTCCCAGATATTTCATAATATAAATTTAAAATAATATTGAGATTTGAATTCATAATATATTTGTGTTTACCTTTTTACTTGAAACATAAAACCCACTTTTTAGCATTAAACACAAACTTATTGTAGTAGATTGATAACTTTTCTCTTTCCACATAAGCTTTTCTGTTCTTGCTCCTTGGGGTATTCTAAGATGAGAAAATGATTTTCAATTTTATTAACAACTAAGACTCTATGGTCCTCAGAATTAATTGTTGTCAGGATATCTAGATACAGCATTTTGAAACACCATGAGCTATTTCTGTTTTTAAAATACTAAATAAAAATCTAGGTGTGGTGGTACTTACCTGTAATCCTAGTACTTGAAGTGGATGCAAGTGGATTCAGAGGTCAAAGTCATCCTGAACAAAATTTCTTATTAAGAACCAATGAACAAATTATCGCTTTATGCAATGCAAATTTTTCTTTAAAGTTTATTTTCAAATATAGTGTTTTTCTATAGATGAGGAAATTTTTTTGTGTGATTTAAAAAAAAATGTTTCCATGACAGTGTATTCCTTAGATGATTTTATTTATCTATTTATCTATCTACTTCTTTCTTTCTTTCTCTCTCTTTCTTTCTTTCTTTCTTTCTTTCTTTCTTTCTTTCTTTCTCTCTCTCTTTCTCTCTCTCTCTCTCTTTCTTTCTTTTCTTTCTTTCGAGTTTGGGGAACATCTTTCCATTAGTATCAGAGTTATTTAGTTCATATTGTTTTGGACACAAGGTGGCAGTATATGAATATGTAATATTAGCCTAACACTGCTAATCTTTCTGTTTTCATTTTTTTTAAAGCAGGTTAACCGACTATCTAGTTTACCTATTTCTTAGAAATATTACACAAGCAATGTGTATACTTATATATGTACTGTTCTAACTTCTAGGTTTTGAGTGTAATCAAATTCAACATTTGATTGGAATGCTTTAAATTGTTCATCTCATTTGTCTAGCTGTAATTATATTCTAGACATTTTATTATGATATATAAATTTACTCAACCAACTTGTGGCATGGGCTGGGAAAGAGTGAAACAATTATAACGTGCTAAGTAGTATTGTACAATTAGTATCAGGACAAAATCATGCTAAAAATTTTGGACAAGCAAAGAAGCTCCTAAATAATTTTCTTAGAACTAATGTATTTTTGTCATCCTTTTTTGGGAAAAGAAAAAAAAAAAACAAGTTATTACATCACATTGAAATCCTCTGTTAATAAATGCACATGTTAAAAACAAAGCAAATTATCTGAGAAACAGGTAAAATAGATTAAGATTAGATTTTAAAATTATATACAATAAAAAGTATCGTGGTATTGGTTAACATAATACTTTCAAGAAAAATTATGTATAGAATCTAAAAGTGGATTTGGAATATATGGAATTTAGTTTGTTGGTGTCCCATCTCTCCCTTCCCTCCCCACCCCCACCTCCCTTTAAGGAAAAATGGCTATTAGAGAGTGAAAGGGGATAGGAGGACAAGACAGAAAAGATGTTTCACTTTAGTGGTACAAAATGCCAGTACTATTTAAAATTGGATGTTAGCTGAGACAGCTGTCTGTAGCCTATGGTAAAAGTAGTTAGGGCAAACATCTTTTCATTTTACTGAATAATAAGCAAAATGGAAGACTTTGACTTTTCCTTGGTTATATGACTGTAATGATATTAGACTAAGATTTCATGGTTTTGTTATGAGAGTTGCATACATTGCACGTAAATTGCTCAGCTAACCTAAAAATAGATGTAAAACTTATAAAATGTATACCGTATAAAATCTGTTCACTGAAATATAAAATTAGCTAGATTAAGGTTCCATTTGTGAATCTTCTATACTTATAATACTGTAAAAATTTATTTCAGCATGTGTATGTATACATAATTATAAGTCATTATCTGGTCCAACTTTTTAAACTTCTAGTACCTATTACTATAAAATCATGAATGTAGCATAGAGGGATCCAAATGATGTCACAATATTGAATTTTGACTCAGTTGATAGTAAATAGCTAACCCTTAAAACTTCTTTTTTTTTCTATCACATAAATAAAGAAGTAGAAGCTGGGGCATGCCTTTAATCCCAGCACGCAAGGAGGCAGAGGCAGGCAGATCTCTGGTAGTTCAAGGCCAGTCTGGTCTACAAAGGAGTCCAGGACAGCCAAGGTTACACAGAGAAACCTTGTCTGGACAAAACAAAACAGAAACAAAAAGAAGTAAAGTAGAACAATAATCACAATATTCTTTTTAATCTTAGTAAGCATTCTGTAAACTATAATCAGAGACCAATAGCAAAATAGTAAATACTTTTTTTCTCCACATTATGTCTAAAAATCCATTTGTATAGGGAGCTTTGCCAGGGGTGATGTTGCATGTCTGTAATCTCAGCATTTATGAAGCCTCGGTAGGAGGATTATGAGTTATAGCGCCACCTTGGGCTACAAGGTGACACTATGTCTCAAAAATAAATAACTAAAAGAAAAAAGAATTTCTATATAACAATTTTATATAGGATAAGGTATACATAGTAAATTTGAAATTATATCTGATTAAAAATGTTCATATAGGCAACTAGTTTTGCCATTTTTATGCAGTAGTTAGGCTTTAGAAAATGCCCGCATTTTGTGCATATATGTCTTTTATAATAATTTGGTCTTGATTTACTGTGATTTGTTTTCCTTTTTTTTTTCAACTGAGGGCTTCTCACAGGCTAGGTAAGCATTTTGTCACTGAGCTGCATCCAGCTATTTTTATCCATTTTATCCAACTGGCCTGGAACTATCCATTCTACCTCAGCCTTCCAAGTAGCCGAGATTATAGGCTTGTGCTACCACATCTGTTAAGTCTAGTGAATAGCTTTCAGTTTTATCATAGTGCTGCATAATAGGTACATGATACATCATAAAAAGTTATAATTGTTCTGATTATCCTATTTTCAATTATTATATGCAAAATTCTAATTTATTAGTTCTTTTTTCAAAGACCAGCAGAATTGGTGTCACCCACCTGAGAATTAGGTTTATTACTGAATCATCATTCTACATTTAAACAGGGACTCCAGTTTGGTGTACATATTGAAAAGCACTGCTATTGACACTTCACTGTATGTTAACTGTGTGGCTGTGGTCAACATTGAGCTTTGGCTTCTTTACTAAAGAACAACTTGAATTACTGTGTTTCTCACGTTATAATTATGAGATCATGTGACTTGTGGAAAAATACTTAGGTGGAATAAGCTTACTGATACCATGATATATACTCTTTTAGTGATATTTTATTAAGTTCACCAAGACTATGTTAAATTCTTTTATTCCGATAAATGTAAAGTGTAAAGAAATTTTTAGACTTAGCTTGAGTAAGAAATGGACAAATATGTGTACTTTTGGAATTCTTATGTTGAGTTTGGCGTTATAGAATGAGTAAATTTTAATTATTACAATTACTACATTTCATCTTTTGTAAACCAAAAATGATCATCTCTACTGAAGGTAAATAACTTTAAGATTCAACAAAAGTTATAAACTGTCATGCTCTCAGTATCTCAGAACAGACTGAGACATCTCAATATTTGTTTGCTTGTTCATTAATTAAATTTCTATGGTGCCAGACTGATCTCTTGTGTCCCACCACAAAGCTCTAGAAGTGTGAACTATACTCAGTCTTATGCTTTTTGAATACTTTTGGATACGTTTTATGTTAGTATGATCTGAAATAACCTCTGAGGAGGTTGTAATATGCTATCTTTAATTTTTAGGCAAAAGAAAAACAGAATGCAAAGAAAGCTCAGGAAACTAAGTGAAGAGGATATTTGGACCTGTGTATGCTGTGCTGCACTTACTTTCATGGAAACCATTAAATATAAGGAACTTTGAACAACATCCTAATTGACTCCGTGCACGTCTGGCATAGTACCAGTCTGTCTTGTCCTTTATGCATGGATTTAAAAACTCTTTCCCTACCTGCATCTAGTGCATGTAGTGCATATTAAATAAAAGTGACATAAAAGTGCTAGCCAAGTTCTGTTGCTTGAATTGGATTGGAGAGCTCTTGGTACTCTGGAAATAAAATATAGTAATGAACCTGGAAACTACACAAATAATATGCTTTATCTGTAGTTCTGATTAATACTTTTATTTGTTAGCTTAAATATCCAATTTACGTCAGATCTTACTTAAACTCGGACATCTGTTTCTTTGTTTATGGAAAAATAATATTTTTGTCTATGTGTGTTTTACAGATCTTAAAACTGAATTTTGTCTCACACCAATTTGATTTTTAAGACCATTCATTTGGAAAGAATACGATACCAATTTTTAATGATTTACATGACTATCTGTAAAGAAGACAATAAATATCCCAATTTTATTTTAGCAAACATTCTTCAGCTGTTTGTTTGTATATTATAGGATTAGGAAGATATTATACATAATATGTATTATTAGATATATTTATATTATTAGACAAGGAAGGTCTGAATATTTTTGCTTCAAAACAAAACTGTAAGTTTAAATATGTTGTAAATCTTAAGAATTTAGACTAAGTTACTCTCATTTTGACAACCTGCTTTTTAAAATATCATTCTGTGCATTCATTGAAAATTAAGGGTTTAACAGTTTAGGTTATCTGATTCTTTTAAAAGATAGTAGTGGTGACAGAGGATTCTTCCACCTCCATTTGAATATACATGCTGCAGTTTCCAGGAGCCATGGATAATGTGCCCACATTGGATTTTTGTCTTTTGAAAGTTGTTTCTAGTAGTTTTTTTTTTTTTTTTCCAAATTAAACTTGAAAGGAAAATACCTAAAAACTATGCAAGACCTATTCATCCAAGCACATTTTGAAAAATTGATACATGACTTTTCTAACATTTTTTTCTTTTTTTTTTTTTGAGACAGAGTTTCTCTGTGTAGCTTTGGCTGTCCTAGACTCTCTTTGTAGAGCAGGCTGGCCTCTTAACTCACAAAGATCCAACTTCCTCAACCTCCCAAGGGCTGGGATTAAAGGTTTGTGCTACCATGCCCATCTTCTTTTTTAACATTTTTATGGTAAAATACTGTAATTTATTCTATTAGTTATACTTGTATACCATTTTCCAGCTTCAGCTTTGATTCAGATTTATTTATATTTCAATTAGCATACAAAGTGGTAGTTTAAATTTTGGCATTTTCATACATGATTTGTTTTTTACTCCTTTTTGCTTATCTTCGTACTTTCTCACTTAACATATATTTGATCTTCCAATTTCCTCAAAATCAGTCTTGTGGTCTTCTTTCAAATTTTGTGATTTACTCTCCTTTTTAAAGACTAAGATCCAGTAAGAGAAAAAATGTGTATCACATTTTATCTGTTATCCCACTTAATACTTTCTAGATCCATCTGTTTTTCTGTAGATTCTATATTTTTGTTGTTGTTTTGTTTTGTCCTTTCAAGGTAGGGTTTCTCTGTGTAGTAGTCCTGGCTGTCCTGGAACTCGCTTTGTAGACCAGGCTGCCCTCAAATTCAGAGATCCTCCTGCCTCTGTCTTCAAAGTGCTGGGATTAAAGATGTGTGGAAACATACAGTCTCAGTACCACACTTACTATCCACTCACTTGTTAATGCTGATTTCATTTCCTTGCTATTATGAATAGAATAGCAATAAATCCGAGTATGCCAGTATCTTTGGGAAATAGAGCCCTTTGAGTAGATGCGGAGGAGTGATATAACTGGTCACATGGTAGTTCTGTTTTCATTTATTTACCTATTTATTAGTTTATTTATTTTGATGCAAGGTTTTTCTGTGTAGCTTGGCTGTCCTGGAACTGCCTGCCTCTGCTTCTGGGTGCCACTCTATCAGAGTGCCGGCCCTTGACACTGAAGGGTATTTGGCTAAGCTTGCAGACAGGAACCTATCAGAGATATCCCCAGCAGTGCCAATAAGTTAATTTTTAAGAATTATTTTAAAGCATCTAATAGTGGTATAATTAGATGATTCAGAACTAACAGGAAGTTTTAGAGCAAAGTTAAAAAAATATTTTCAAACATAATTTCAGATTTAGTTTTTCAGCTTTTTTTCCTTTGTGGATGAGAGGTGGGCTATGTTCTTGATGGAGTAGTAATCATGGAGTGTTTCCAAGTCTGATATAATTATTTAAAAATAGTTTCCTGAGGCTTGTCTTAGACTATGTTGGTCTAACTCATTTGAACTTAATATATTTAAAAAATATTTTTCTTTGAAAATTTTCCACATGTATACAACGTATTTTTATATATATTCTGCTCAAATCAATTTCTTCCTAACATGTCCATCCTCCCTCTCTCTACTTTCCTTTCTCTGTCTCTCTCTCCCTTACTTCTTCCCTGTCTTACTTTTTAAAATAACCCACCGAAGGTATGAGGACATCTGGTGGGACAAATGAACACACCGAAGGTCAGAAAATTGACTCCCTTCTCCCAGCAAGCACAGCCTGTCAATAGTTCCTCAGTTAGGAGTCCCCTCCGCATGCTGGAGTGTTGGCCAGCTTGATCTTCCTAGGTAACCACAGCTGCTCTGGCCAGAAGTGCATTGCTGCACAGCAGTCTTTGACATCAGACTCTTACTTTTTTGTGTTCCCTGAGGGAGAAGGTATACTGTAAATCCCAGTTATGGCTAGTACTGAACTTTGTTTCCATACTTCCGTTGAGGCTTAACTTTTATAAAGGTATTCCAGGTTTTCTATAGAAAGTAGCCACTTATTAAATAAATGATCCGAATACAGAGAGAACCTAAAATAGATTAATTTGTATCTGATCCCTTGATTTTTGACAAAGGTGGCAAAGCAGTAAAGGAAGGATGTTTTAACAGATGGACAGAATAGCTGAATTTCCATATGAAAAAAAAAATGAGCTGTGACCTCAGTGCATCTCCCAAAAATGAAATTGAGCTTAGTCATAGGACCAACGTGTAATAGCTAAAAAGCACAAAGGTTTTTTTTTTTTTTTTTTTTTTTTTTTTCCGTTGCAAAACACATGAGGGTCTTTTTATTGTAAATTACAAGCTGCAACTTGGGCCTACACAGCCCCACCGCCGAAGCGGTGGGAGCTGAGCGCCCGTGCCCAGGTTAGTTGGGTGATTTATAGATTCTGGTCCCTCCCAGCATACCCAAGGCAGGGGCAATTCCTGCCTGGCAAGCATCTATTGGTCAAAATGCTACATTTTGAATCGATTGGCTATAGGAAGGTTCCCAGGCCATTAATGACCAGGTGTCCCTCCCTAGGGGAATGGTCCAGTTTCCTAGCAACCGTATCTCTAGTGGGTGGGGAAAGAATGCAGCGAGGTAGCTCTCCCCTCAGGGCATTACTAACTACTTTACCGCACCTACTCACCTACTCTAGGTTTTAACGATAGCTGTCACTTTGGTCTCTCATTTCCCCCTTTCCCATGATCATTTGAAGACCCAATCTTGGGTCTTCCAGACATGACCCCTTGTATCTTATAGATTTACCTTTTTATAATGGGATCTGAATACCATTAGTGTAATGCTCAAGCATTTCTTTATGAAAGCCATTGAGCAATTGAAAATACAAGGCCCCCCAAAAAATCAAAATGAGTAGGGGTCCCTTCAGGGTAGATATAGGGGTAGTAAGCCAAGGAGAACTATTATCCTTTTTTTTTTTTAGGGTCTCTAGGCTTTTAGCCCATTTGCTGCAATATTAGTTTTTATTTCAGCTAAGCAGATGCCCAAGATAATAGCTAATGCCAGGGAGCCCCTTTTGACTTAGCATTTCAGCCTGCTAGGGGGGATTTGGGCAAAGACCGTCTTCTGGAGCTTCTTCAATGCTGACCATTGGACTGTAGGCATCAAGGGCTAGCCTTTGAAATGCCAGTCAAAGGCTGGGCAATAGGGCAGTCCCAAGCATCTGGTTAGTTGATCCACCTGAAGAGGCAGGGAGCAATCAGGTCAATTTCCAGGACGTCCAGATTTCAGCTTGCAGTCCACAGCTGATCTCGGAACAGAGTTAAACAGGTGAAAATCTGCTGAGACAAACTCAGACTGGAGACAGAAGTTAAAATTTGTCTATTAAAATGGGAAAGATCAGGGAAAATCTTACCTGCAATCCTTTTGAGCTATGCCAGATCCAGGTCACATCCTGAAACTCATATGAATTTTTTAGTACACAAAAGGAAATATATATTCAGTAAATCTGATATAACATTCTGAGAGTAACAGTTAAAACTGCATCCCACTGAATCAGTTAGTTAGCTGTTTGTTTTATAACCTTTATAAACAACTTAAGTGTGTCCACAGTAACATTTCTTCTGTGGGCATAGCTGTTGGTAATTAGCCACAAATGGAGTTTGGCCATTTTTTTATACACTCAGCATCTTTTAGTCCCCATCTCTATGTTCATACTGGAAAGTTAGGCAGAAATACATTACTGGCTTTAGTACTAAACCCTGGATGCTTGGATTTTTCTTTATAAAGTAACTAGAAGGAATAGGTTTAAGATATTCCTGTGTCAAAATCTACCCCAGAAATGGCAGGTATTAAGAATACCATACTAAAAGCTATGACTTTTGGGTCAGATATATACATTAAACAAATGTTTTTAACATGATGAGAAGCACCTTTAAGTCTATCTCCAGAGGCCAACCAAAGGAAATTAAAATCTCAACCTGGTGACTGAATAATAAGCAGTCAGTGCTCCATCAACTTATCAGAACTCTATTGATTAATGCCAAAACTCTGAACTTCTGAAATCTCATAACATAAGCACAACAGTAGCAAAGAGGGGGGAGAGATCTAAAGTATCTCCCATTTTTAACATGCTTTAAACTATTTTTATATTATTATAACTTATAATTATATACCTTAAAACATCAACTTGTACTCTCTAATCTTTTTTTTTGCATTTATCAACCCTAAAACATTTTTTTAAACCAAATAACACTCTCTGGGTTTTTACAACCTAAACTCCTATAGCCTCAGACCTTACATAGGCTCTATTTTTTTATCCTAAGACACAGGCAATTAACATGAGTTCTGTGAACAA